TACAGCAGCTTGCTGTGGCTGGAAGAAGCAGCATTGCCTCCCTGCCTCATTATCTCACACTGTCAAAACTACCCCTTTGTCATGGAGCATGGCAGACCTTTGACATTTCAGCAGAAATCTGCTTCTATTTGACATCTCTCCTGCAGTCTCAGTTTTTGGTAGGAACGCTGGCAAAACCTCTATTTTCCACATACTGATTCATTGAAAAACCTGTTTATATGAAAAAGAAAACAAACAAAACAACAATTGTGAATGTCACAGCTGCAATGGATGTAGTGGAAACTGACTCACTGTAAAAAGATTGAATTCAAAATGTTGCTATTAAGGGAAAGGTTTTTGAGTATGTTGGTAACTCTGCCTGTTTATCTTTAATAACTGTATAACATTTTGTAATGAGATGATGCACCTTCATAACATGGAAGTTTCACAGAGTTGCTTTGTTTGGATCACGTGATACATGAATGTGTGTCTGAGCATTTTTTTAATTAAAGAAATTAAGCAAACCACTCAAGCCTATCCAGGCAAATTTCCTACCTGCCTGGCACTTCCTAAATCTTTCATTTCTAAAAGTTTCTAAACCCTACACAGCTACTTCACTTAAGGTATTTGTGCAATTCTTGCAGCTCAGGAGTGTTGCCACTGGGGTTTAGTGCCATCTTTCCTGTCTCTGGGGAGAGAGGATTGGGGATTGGGACACCCAGAGGAGACTCAGAACTCTCCTGATTTTTCTGTTATAAGGGTGCAAGAATAACATTCTGCTCTCCAGCAAGAGAGTATCTACTTGTGAACTTCATCTGAAGGCTCTGGAGGCAGCAAAACAGGAACTACATTTGCACCAGAGCTTCCATAGAGACCCTTTCTTTACATTAGTCCATTAAGGACTCATTTACAAGCAGCACTAGTTTTGGAAGTTTAGTCAGTTTGAAAACAATGTGCAGGGTGTATATGGTATGGTATTGTATTTGCCATGGCCAAACATGCCAACCTTGGTCATGGTAACTAGACAAGTGAAAGTGAACCATAAAGTGACACCAAAGCATGCTTTATGTGTCATTCTCACTAGTAAATGTTTCTGCTATATCAGGGATTAGTGAAGTCAGGGATTTAATACAAATATAAATAATTTTGGAAGATAAAAAGAGTGTTGCCATTGTTACTACTTAACTGTAGGCTTTGTAATAAGCTGTGGAAAACCAACTTTAGAACTTCTTCAGCACCTTTAGTCTTTAAGTCACAGAGGTAAGCTCAACATGAGGACCTGGATACATTTCAGGACACCGTTTTTTGTTTTTCCTCTTTCCTACAGTTATCACCTGTACCTAGTATTATTTATTATTGCCATTAATGACTTGGAACTAGGATGATTAAATTTCAAGATTATATTTCCTGGACAGCTGACATAACAGCTTGATGCTGCTGGAAGGCAGTGATCTCACTTCCTTCCCTCTCCCTGTTCTTGGCTGCAGAATGTCTTTGTTTTTGTTTGACTTTGGCATTTTTTAAATTCTCTAGATCAGTTTAATTCGTTGAATTGCTAGGAAGGCTTCTGGGTTTGCTTATTTGTTTTTCTGGAGTTTTCTACCACCAGTGGTTCTGACTGTTGGCTACCAGTGTTGTTTTCATGGCCAGCTTAGAGTGTGGACTTGCAAGAGAGAGTGCAGTCTGTATTCTGAAGTCAGTTGTATTTCTGTAGATATATTTCTTCAATGGTCTTGAAGGTCTTTTCCAACCCAAATGATTCTATGATTCTAATTGGCTCTCACAGAACAGAGACTGTCAGAGGCTATTGTCAGACTATCAGAAATATCAGAGAATACAATCAGCATAGGAACTTGGAGAGATGTTGTCTTGTACAAAAGAGAAAATCCGTAGCATTATGAGAACAGTGCCTGTAGAGCTAAGAAAGGAAAACACCAAGCTGGTGTATGCTGTTTCTTGTATACCACCCAGGTTATTTCACAGCTCATAGTTTGAGTGCTGCACCTTAATAGAACTGCTCTGATGTATTCTGAAGTTATGTTCTGCATTTACTTTATGATCTCACTGAGAAACATCTTGAGCAAGGAGAGACTTGTAACACCTCAGACAAAGAAAATGCAGCAAGTAAAGAAGTTGTGTTCCCTTCTCTTAAATGTCTGGTACTAGAGGAGCTGGTGCACACTTAGTTACTTTTCATCATAATGCCTCTTGGTTTTTTATTGACTTCTATTCATTTGAATTTCATTGTCTCCTCTTGCTCTGAGGACAAAAATTATTATTTACCCATTAAAAAATGTATCTATTTGAAGTCTCAATAAAAGTGCAGATCCACAGGACTCAAACCACCAGCCTTCACCAGCTCCCTGCATCTTGTCCTGCTTTTCTGTGCAGGATGCAGAGGGGTCATATGCTTGTTGCTTTGAACAGCACTTTAAAAATAGGTACAATATTTAATTATCCCCAATATTTGCAAAACACACTCAGAATTACAGCAAAGCATTTTGTTTCTGAAACAGTTTGCTTTTTTTCTGTTGGACTAGCGTGAATTTCTGATGAGTGTTGAATTTACCATTTGTCTTTAATTTTTCTTCTGGTGTGTCAGCATTACTTAATAATTTTATAGATAATTATCTGTTCTCATTTAAAATTTTAACATGAAACACATACCTAAGGTGGCACTTTTGAGAAATCCTCTATAAAAAAGGTGTTTTCCTGGGGATTTTATTCACCTGTGCATGTATTTGCGCACAGTTAATGATTCATTTGTACACACACAAGATTCCTAAGATGATGAATGTGGACTTTATTGTTACTTGTAGCACAGAAAACATTAATTTAGTCTTCGTGTGCTTTTTTCCCCTTTTCTTTCCAGCCTGTAATTCCAACCAGTCCAACAAGCAGCTCTACAACACCCACAAATACAATGGGCATATCCTCAAAAATGGACAGCTCTGCACTCCAGGATGTTTTCATTCTGTCTCCTATGTCAGGACTTTATGGCCCCAGGTATTTACATCATAGTAAAACTAAACTTTTGAAAAATTACATTTTACACTTTAATTTCACTAGATTAATAAAACCAGACCAAAAGCCCCACAATAAAACTAAATGGTTAGTAAAATTAAGAGCCAGAAATACACTAAGCAGCACATCATGATTTTGAGAGACTTAACTTTCTCTGAGCTAGAGACAAGGTGAGCAAAACCAATAAAGCATTTAAAGACATGTTTAATCCTTTAGTTTTATTGACTTTTATGTGACTGCTTGTATCTTATTCTAAGGCATGCATTTCTGCAAGGGAAACCCTCACCTTCTCATGTTATACCAATCCTTTCTGCTCCCTTTCAAATACTAGACTACTCCGGAATAACTCTGTCTTACAGTTACAATGGAACCTAATGATGATTTTATTCATTTGTATTTGTTGAATTTGAATCACTTTCATGGAAGTTCTCATATATAACATTTAAACTACAGGACTTTTTATTTGCAGTGTTTGGGAAAGACAATTGTACACTTCAGCTTTATCAGAAAATGGTTAATTTCTCAAATATCTTCTGGCCTACTGTTTTTAGGGATGAAATTGGAATCATGTCTTGTGACGACATCAGCAAATTTGGAAAGTCTGGAATGAAAGGCTCAGAGTCTCCAAGCTATTTTCTGGAGCATGAAAGTGGGAAATACTACACATTAATTGAAGGTGAAGGCCACCCTGTGGGCTCTGACTATGAGAGGAGCAGAGCTACGGGAGTGAGGAGGAGAGAAAAAACACCCACTCACGGTAGGCTGGAGTGCCTTTGCATGTCTGAATTGATGGGCCTGACAAATGGTGCTGCAACACCCCCAACTACCTATCATTCTTTATTAGATCATGACCTGTAGGCTCTGAGTACTGGACAAAAGTTTTTGTGAAATAATAGTATAATTGCAAGCTAACATTCAGGATCAAGAGTGTGGAAGTTAGTGAAAGGTTTCTTCTACAGTGTGTAATTAAAATTTCCAATGATACTTAAGTCCATATCATTTGGGTAGTTACCATCTTCAATTACTCATTTTCATTCCCAAGCTCAAGGAGATTATTCTAGTTGCAGTGTTCTGGGCTGGTAAACCTCAATGGAAAGCCTGAAAAGACTTACTTGTGGTATGAAAACATCTGTAAGATGTAAGGCCCTCCAAGATTCACTGGTGTATTAAATGGAGTAGTGTCAGAACACATGGGTAGTACCCTACAATGCACTTCTCAATACTAGAAATATTCTTAAAAATCCTAGAATGGGGACTGCTTAAATATGTAAGATGCTTTAAAACAATAGTAAACTGTGGTTCTATATAGAAATTTCTTGTTTATGTAAATCCATATGAGTGTGCAGGTATAGAAACATATGTGCTTGTACATGAGTATATGTAGAAGTGGTGTTGCTGAAAATGAATTGGCAAATTTTTAATTGGTTTTTTTTAATCTGCTAAAAACTGATTTGTTTGGTGCACTTTAGAAGAGTACTACTGAAATACAGCAGTGTATTCTCCACATATTTCAGTGGTTTTATTCTTAAGGCAGTAAGTTATTTTTGTTAGGTCTACACAGTTATGAAAAAAGATTTTTAAAAAAAACTGTCATTATATCTTATTTTGACAATGGCATTATTTCTGAGCCTCAGAAAGCAATGGGTCCTCCTGATCATAGCATTCTGTATGGGTAGGTTCTACCTTTATAAATATATATATATACACACACACACATATATGAGATGCCATCAATAAGTACTTCATTCACTTACACTGTGACTTTTTTTCTTTCTCTCATTTTGTTAGAAAAAGTTCCTACATTTTTTTGTCTTTGATACCTAGAAAAGGGAGAACCTCTCCCAAGCTTTACTCTTTACTACAGAGTAGAAAAGAACAGTGAAGAGCACAGACAATAAAAAAATGCTGCAGCTCAATGGAGATAATACCAGAGGCAGTTATAGTGCAAGATCCAATAACAGCTGAAATGAAAAAGAATTGGGGGGAAAAAGACACATTTTTAAGCACTCCAGGCACTGATGCTGTTGGTCTGCCAGGGAACTGGTTGGTTTCTGATGCAGAATTTGATATCATGGATGTTTTTCAATATAGTTTCCCATGCTGCTTTCAGTTCTTTGTACTTAAGAGACAAAGCTCTTAGATTCTCTTCCCTGCTCTCAGAGTGAAACATTCTTACCACCATAAATGTTAGAATTCTGAGAGAAAGTCTGCTGGCCCCAGATGCCAAGACAGATTTTGGTAGTTAAGATGTACAAACATTTTCCTCTCTTAATAAATGCTTGCTGAGGTTTTCTTACTGTAGGTGAGATATTTATGGCACAGTTTACATCATTTACCTTAGTTAAGGTTCCAACGAAGGACATGCAGCTTTCCAAGAGTTGTTCTGGTGTTGACATTTGTCATTCTGATAGTTTGAAAGGAATGTTAGTTTATGCTAATCAAGTAAATGGATGAAATCCTGATTTTATCCTGATTTTGTGTTTTGTTGACTACAGCTATGGTAAAAAATGGCAAAAGATCAACTGTAGAAAGGACAAGATTGTGTATATATATCACTACCTTTCTAGAATAGGGAAATTTTAATAAGCCCTTGTTACCTGTAGCGTATTTTTAGTAACTTCTGTAGTCTTAGAGTTGGTGCTTGAAAAAGTTGTAACACCCAAGAGTAGAACTCCATCTTAAGACTTTTAATGCTCAGTCTTTACCTCTCTGTTAAGTGACATCATTTTATAATAAAATTAGAATGAAAGATAGATCTTAACTGTGATTAAAATTGGAGCCAGATGGATGTATTTGGCTTGCTTTCATAAATTGATGCTGCATGATGACTTAAAATGTTGGGCTCTGTGCCTGAGCCCAGTGATAGGCAAGAACTGTCTTGTTTATGATGGACAGTTCTGATTTTCTCTGACTTTGAAAATCTAGAAGGAATTTTATTTTAAAGTCTCAGGAATATGCCCTTGTTTCAAAAACAATTTTTAAGCCAGACATTTTTCTAAACTACAGGTTTTAAACCCAAATTTTTGTAGAATGTTTCCTATTTTTTTATTTAAATCTGTACCTCTGAACCATCAGAGTGATGATATGGCCTTTGGTGGAAAGACAGGATTGATGGTAGAGCAAGTAACATGTATCTAAGGCTGGAACCAGGTAGCCATGGGCAAAGTAAAGAAAATAAAACCTCGGAGCTCTTTCATGGTTGAGCACATGCTCTCATGATTGCTAGGACCCACATAAACCACAATTCATAAATTCTTACCATGGATTTACCAGAACTAAAGTGATTACTACAAACCAATCTCTGTTGCAGCTGGTAGGTAGAAGGATACTCAGGCAGTGTTGATAATATATGCAAAATCCAAGGAGGCAAATAACAAATCCATTTTCTCAAACCATTTCAGAAGATTAAGCTTGTATTTATCATTGCTGCAGTGCTTTTTTTTTTCTTAACCAGGAGTTAAACACTAGCACCAGTCTGATTCTTACATGCTGTTTAGAGTTCTTGTGGCAATGCATATCAAATCTCTTCTGCTATACTTGTACACAATAATTTTCTGCTCCCCAGAAAAATACAGAAGTTGCCATATTTTAAAACAGTTTATAGCTTCCATTTCTTTGGGAAAGAACTTGGAAAAAACCTAAGCAGTATGCAAAGTCATTAGTTCCTTTGTTTGGCTTCTGTGTTTCCTGTCCTAAATTTCTATTTTAAATTTTTTCACAGCGAGAGTGGTCAGACACTGGAACAGGCTGCCCAGGGAGGTGGTGGAGTCACCATCCCTGGATGAGTTGAAGGGTCATTTGGATGTGGTGTTGGTGGATCTGGTTTAGGGGAGAGCTTTGTAGAGCAGGGATGATGGTTGGGCTGGGTGATCCCAAGGGGCTTCTCCAACCTGAATAGTTCTATGATTCTAAGTCAATTCTATGGTGGCGTCTGGCATTTTTGTTACAAATCTCTTTAGAGCTTCAGACCTTTCTTCCCTTTGCATAAATACTGCCATGTTTTATTCTTTTGATCCTCACTTACTATGTGAATTCTTATTTACAGATTTTTGGTTCTTAATGTATAATCTTGTTTCTCCTTCTTTTTCATAGTACTGACTATTCCATTTGTTTGATTTATTGGAGTTTTTTTTCTTAATTAATATTGTTCTTCTAAGACCAAATTTAATATTAGGAGCTGAATAATACATTTGTAGTTTAAAATTAGTTTAAACTATTAGAAGGAAACTATGTATGTTTTACAACAGTTAGTTATGCACTGCCTTTTATGATATATGTTATCCCTTCAGTTGTAAGATAGTCATGTTGTCCAGAAGCTTATCTGTTTTATATACCCATTTGTTTTTAAATCAGCCTAAGATTTTAGTAGCAAAAAAACCCCCTGTATTTCGGAAGAATGCTGAATAAAAAAACTTCATTAGCATGCAAATAATTTACAGACAATACCCTGTCACTCTAACCAACCTAGGGAAATTGATAAAGAAACTCTTGCTCATATGTAAAATCTACAATAATCCTAGAAAGAGAACAGTAGCAAAGTCCTTTCAAAAAGTTTTCTTGAGTGCTAAAGACAGATAGTTCAGTCAGCTGGTGAGTGGAAAAAGGAGTCTTCGGCTTTACGGGTCAGACAGACTTTAACCCATCATCTGGAGGGTGTGTTTCTGTGTTTTGTGATGGTAATGAACACTGACAAGGCAAAAGTGCTAATGTCTTGCAGTCAGGTTTGTAGTATTCCTCATTTAATGGCCTGCTTTCCATGTTCTACCCATACCATAGCAGGGAATGACCAGCACTATCTTAGAACCAGAGTGCCATGAAATCATATTAATTAAAACCCTAATGCCTGATGCTTCGTTTTTGTTGTTACCAAACTGTGCTCTGTGTTTTATTTTTAAGGCACTTGAAATTAATGTTCCTTGAAATGAGATTCCCCTCATTACTCACCGTGTGATTTTCCAGGTCAAAGAGGTTTCACTGTTTAACTGATACATATGTAATGTTTTATCTGCATTAATACCATTTCTAGTCTTACTAAGCATATTAGTCCATTAAAAATTCCTTTCTTTTTTCCATCTATTTAATGAGTGAGCAAGTTTTTTACAAAACAGAGTTTTAAAACAAATTTGCATTCTGCCTTACACTTACAAGTCATTTCACCCAAGTCAGTGGTACTTCCCTCCAAATCCATATGATGAAGAGCAGCACCCAGCATAGATGATGTTTCATTGATCCTGAAGTCTACAATGTATAACGTAGAGGTACTGACCAAAAGGATTGCTCTGAAGGGTCATGTCATGCCTGTAATCTCTAGGCATTACTTACTCCACAGTCTTCTATTTTAAGTCTTCAAAAATTACATTGGTTTATCTTGAATTATTTCCAGGAGATTTGAGGCCTGTTTCTATGCCTACTGAGTACAGCTGGATAGGGGAGTCAAAAGAACAGAACATGTACAAGAGGGGAAGCAGAGGTGAGTATTTTTTATTTCTCTGCTGTTCTCCATGGGGGTTTTTTTGTTACTTCAGAAACATGAAGGTATCACAGGAAACAAATCTATTTTGCTTGACTGCCACAGAGAAGGTAAAATATCTGGGGGTTTTGTTTTCTGAAAATTAAAAATTTTGTTTCTGTAGGAGGGATTTACTCTATCTAAATCTAGTAGGGAAAAAAGTAAGCATCACAGGAAGAAAAAATTATAGGATTCAGATATATGTTAATAACAATCAGTTCTTAATCTTCACAGTTCTAGAAAACAGTAAGTGATGATATAGATGGAAGGTAATGTCCTTTGAGACACATTTTGATTTGTATGAATGAACATTTGAAACTGGAATCAGCAATGTTACTGGTACTGCTCAGAGCAGCAATACTATCATAAAAGTATCTATTGATTCCCATTGGAACGAACTTGGAAGAAGATCAGTGGTAACAAATTCTTTTTTTCCTATTTTTCCTCAGCTAAAAAGCATTTACATAATCCAAAAGGATATCTGCAAATAGGCAAATATGTATATTGTTATACCAAATGTTAAAGATTCTTAAATAGTTACTAATATGTCAGAATCTTTTAGGCACAGTGTGGGTAGCTGAGTTCAAGTTGTCTGCTTACAATGTGACAAAATTGAATGATACTCTGAAAAATTAATACAGGAATTTAAACCTTTTTCAGTTATCTTCCATTCCAAAATAAAATAGATTTCATTTAAGGCGCCTTTTCTGATTTGTTCCAAATATTTTGGCTTATGTTTACTCTGTGTTTCACTGTTACAGTCAGATTCCATTCCTCTGACTTGTTGCCTTACCAGTTCCCATTTTGAAATTGTGCCCAAGCATGCTGCACACATCCTTAAGACCATTATTCCAAGTTGTCAGGTTCCTTGAAGTCACAATCTTTGTCTCTGGAATGGTCCCAGAGATGCTTCCTGCTTCATACAATTTACAGACTGCTCTATGTATGCTCCCTTTCACCTCAGGTGGCAGGTGGTGTCAGCACATGTGGTACCCAGTCCAGTGCAAGCCCTGACAATTCCCTCGGCTCTCACATGACTTTCCAATCTAACAGCACCAAGGGCTGACCTTTGACATTTCACTAAAACCTTTTGGCTGTATCTGTAGCTTGTCACACAAGCCATATGACATGGGCTACCTTCATACTGCCCATTATGCATGGACCTGGGTGTTCACCACCACCTAATCTGTGCCAACTACTTGGTTTGCTCTTGAATGGAACCTTGTTACAAATAACTTTGCAGAGGAGAGAGCTTCAGATGCAGTGGGGAATTAGCCAAGCTGACAATACAAGTGTAGCCAAAATGGTTCTCTGTTTCCTCTTACTAATGTTTCTTTTTCCTTTTTTCCCTCCAACAACTGACTCTGAGAATTCCCTCCTGCGGTACCTGAGTGATGACAAGATACTGGTTATCCAAGAAGAGCCTTTGACACAAAAAGACAGCAAAAGGGACACAGGTCGTAGGTCAAGAAAAAAGGGCAAAAATACAAGCAGTCCAAACTACCCTATTAGTCCACCTGTGTTGACATCTACTGTGAATGTTAGGCTTGAACCTGGACAGCAAGATGTCTTGAATTTCTCACTAGCAGAAAACAACACAGTTCCACTTTATCACGTAAGTACATTTGCAAAACCTTCTTACATGAAGCACATGGAAAGCACTAAAATGTTTTCCTTTTAGGACTAATACAGGTTTAAAGGCATATTCTTCTACCTTGTGTTTTAATGTGTGTTTTTTTTATAGTCCAAGAAAGTTGTTTAATGTCAGTATCATGATAGCTTTCACCTAAGAATGGTCTAGACAGAGCTGAAAAATGCAAGGCAAGGACCATTTTATATCAGATGCTTTCAGTAAAATACTGCTCTTGATTACTTAGTCTCACTGAGTTGAGTTAGATTTGACCATATTAATTTTTCAAAGGTTGACAAGGATACTATACTCAGCCTCTGATCACAGTTAATTATAAATTAGTTTATGCTTTTACATTTCCACTTCAGTCATTATCGCTTGTAAAAAAAGACAAGCTTAATGGAATTACTGTTTGTTTAAACTGCAATACCATGGCCACAGTCTAGTCATGTGAATGTGTTCATATGGGTAAGATAGGAAATACTTTGGACTGAAAAACAATGGAAAGGATATGATTAATTGGATGAAGGGCTGCCCAGTTTCATGGCTGCCACCATGAAAAAGCACTAGGTTCTCATGACTGTTGGCTAGTGTAGAGCTTCCCTGTGCTGATTTGGATGTCCTGCAGTCATCAATAGCCTTTCAGAGATCAGTGTGCTGTTCATGCTTTGTGTGTGCATATTGCCTTTTATAGAGGCATTCTTCAGTTCTGCTCAGGGTCCTGCCATTTGGAAGCAGACTGATCAGTTCTCATGACAGAGAGTAGTAGCTTACAAGTCTTCTGTGCTCAATAGTCAGTATCTTCAGGGTAGTTGTTTGCTGAAAAAAAAAAAAAAAGCCTATTTCCTCCCCACATTTGGTATGGAAGCATTCAAAGGTGTATTTATTTTATACTTGTGGTGAATTTCCTCCTAGAAACACACAAGTGAAAAAGAAAAACTTGCAGCAAGTTTCTTCAGGCTTCTTTGCATTCGAGGTTCTGATTGGGTTTCTCTCAGCAAAATCCTGGGAGATGCCCATGTTGGCACCAGGTCTGAGAGGGGTCACCTGATGGGTGAAATACAGTCCGTGGTTCATCTCGGTTGCTGAAAGCTGTCAGCATTTGATAGTCTGAACATCAGATACTTTTCCTCTGTCTTCAGGAAATTTAAGTTTCCCTTTCCTACTCTGCTCGAAGTTAATCTTTTTGGAAAGGTGGAAGGTCTTTTCCCCGAACATGAGAGAAAGCCAAGCAGTTTATAAATCCCATGATTGTTTATCAGGAGGTGTTTATTCTGTCTGAAGAGATACTACCTTGAATGATTTCCATACCATGATATGAGCTTTGTGTTCTATAGAGCAGTTTGTAAAAACAAAAAAACAAGCTGCACATTATAGAGATATTTTATCTTAAATGTCTGCAATGTTGTAACAGACTTTTCTGCTTGTAAGTCACAGTGAGTAGGAGCAGTTCTTCATTCTGTGCCTTTTCTTTTCTATGAAAAGACATGCAATTATTTGAAGCAGATATGATAAGTGAGTAATAGGAGATTGTGTGAGAACATAATATATATGAAAAAAAAAAAACCCTAATGGCATAATATGTCAATTATAAAGTGTCTGAAGGAAATGAAGGAAGATGGAAAGAAGGTGGAATCCTGGGAGGAGAAAAACTTACATGTAGTTGTTGATCTACCCAAAAGGTCAGTGCAGTACCTGTTTCATAAACTCTGTTATAATATGCAGTTATTCCAGAGGAGGATGCATGTAAAATGATTATTCATGCACTGACAGAGTGGTATGAATTCTTTTATCACCATAAAATCAGAATATCTCAGGCACTTAGTCAACTCCCTTATAAATATACAAGAGGAATCGAGTCTAGAAATATACAAGAGTTGTTGACACAGGTTTTATGGGTTCTTGCCAGTACAAAATCATTCAGATTAACAACAACTTTCCATTTTAAATACTGAAAGAATTCCGAAAAGTGAAGCAAAAAATCGTTTGGCATATCTATCCTGAAAGATAGCTACCTGGAGTGAAAATGCTAAATATCAAAAACATTTAATGGCATGTGGATATCTGAAAGGAGGTGAAAAATTATAGCAGTCTTCCTAGACAGAAATTTATGTTTAGGTACATAATCTCCTTTTCTTACTATCTCAAGGTATTTTCATAAGCATTTTGATATATTTACTTATTTGATAATGAGGTTTTATTCCAACAAGAATTTATTCTACAACAAGACTAAGGTTAATTGAAAGAGGATATTTCTAAACTTAACCCAATAATCATAAAACAGATTTTGCCCCTTATTTAAAATAAATAAATACATTTTAAAATATTTGCCTGAGATCAGCTCTTCTGGTCTGTGAATTTTTTTTCTCAGCTGTCAGGAGGCAGATGACAAATCTAGTTTCATTTTTTGATGATGTTGTTGGTTTGTTTTTTTGTTATGGAAGCCAAAACTGCAGAACTGTTAGAATCAGATTTCCATGAATTCCTCTACACTTAACACACACCCAGAACAACTTTTGGATGTAGATCAAAATTCTGACCCAGAAAAGTGCTTTGGAAAATGAAATTATAATGTTAAATAGGATCTAATAATCTTTAGTAAAGGGAAGGTGATAGTGCCTTGTAAGCGAATGAGTATGGCATGGATGGAAGGAGAAATCAAGATCTGCAGTGTCATTTAGCCATTGCTTTATTTTCTAAGCCCTTGTATAAATACATTTAAAAAAAGAAAGACACCACTACTTCAAATTACCAGACACAGAAGAAGATTTGCGAAATTGGTAATTGCATAGATTCACCACTAGATTAATGCTTTGGATGGAATGTTGATTTGGAACCTAAAATTAAACAATTAGACTGATTTCAGAAGTTGGTGTGAGGATGCAGATTTACTATATGAAATGGATATTTAGGTAATGCAATATTGGCAGTATGCCCAGGATATGAACTGATGCAGAAATCTGTGTTGCAATTAACCATTACTGTCAAGAAACACTGGCCCTTTCAGGATATATTTATAACTCTAATTTAATCAATACGCCATTCTGTGACGCATGTGACACAATCCAAGGAAGAGTCAATTATAATTAACAGGGCTGTTATAATTAATTATTAATCAATAGAGTATTTCTTAGAACATGACTTCCTATGTTTACTAATGCCTTACTTCTGAAGTGACATTGTTTACCAGATTAAGGCTAAAGAGTGAGGCATATGTAAATATCACAGAAGTATATCCATTATAACATGGCTGAAATGCACTATTGGAACAGACTCTGGGCTTAAAGAATAGAGTTAAAATCTGAATATGTTCTCATGTTGTGTTACCAGAGTTTATTCTGAAGAAAATTAACTTATCAAGTAGAACTACTGCACAGTAGATCAGATATACGTGAGAAATTTTCATTTGTCATTTTTCCCCAAAAAACAAAACCAAAAAGTCTTGAAGGGAGAATACTCTCCATGCTCAAACTGATGTCCAGGCTTCTAAAACACTCGAGCTAACTGTACACTTCCTGCTGCTCAGTTTCATTTTGCACCATGGGAACCTGCTTCTGTCTCAAAGAAATACTGAACTTCTTATTCCAGACCCGGTCTGAAAGTCCACATGGTGGTCACCTTGGTGGTTTTACTGCCTCAGATTTGTACTCTGATTTGAAGCTCTGAAATTTAATTTGCTAGTTACTACATTAAATTCTCAAATAAGATCATGATCTGTCATCTGGTTTTACTTGGTGGTAAATGTTCTGGGTCTGTTATCTACAAAGTGATTGGATAGTTTGTTTTGTAGTATCATAGATTAATAAGTTTTATTATAAACTATTGAATCTTCTAATTTTTTTGTGTGTGAATTAGAATTCAGTGTGTTGAAGAGACTTAATTTTTAATGAATTCTAAGATTGATTCTTTCATTTCAATATTCCCTACATAGTAAAATAGAAATAATGGCTGCTTTAGGGTAGTCGTTGAGAATATTATAGCAGTAGTCACTTCTTATTTTAAAGATAATTTGAAGCATTATGGTCACTTAGGGTTACTCATTGTTTCGCAGCACTTGCTTCCTTTTTATTTCCTTCCTGCTG